CGAACGGACTGTCCTGGCAACGACGTGGGCCTTGGCCATGAATAACTAAGCTCTTTGGCCCAAACCTCAGGAACGGCAAGGTAACTAAATACCCTCCTGAGCCCAAAGCGGATTTTCATTCCACCTTCTCGGGTGAAGTCAGAGTGCCTCAACAAGGTTGGGGTGACCAAAAGTCCTGGGGGGTCCTGTAGGCCTGGGGGGAAGGCACTGGTCTGTGGGGGGGGGGGCTGTACGTCCTCCCTCCAGGGGCAGGCTTCCTGAAGTCCGCGGGGGGGGGGGGGAGCCTCGTTCAAGACAGAGGCATGGAGGCGCGAGCCTCCGTGGGAGGGCCCCTGCAGTCGGATGGGGGCGCCTGTAAGCCGAGGGGGGGGGGCCTGTAGTCCGGGGGCGGCGTCGTTGTAGTCCGGGCGGGGGGGGGGCCTCGTAGTCTAAGGGGGCCTCTAATAGTCCGGGAGCCCCAACTATTGGGCTACTCATTCGGGTGCTTCACGAGCGTGAACGGCCAACCCCCTGCGAATATTCAGGGCCCCGCCCGGGCGCACTCTTGCCGCGGCCCTTGGCGTTGGTTCTCGGGTCCTGGTTGGCCAACTTGCCCAACTCGGGGTCGGCCGAGATCTCCGCCAGGGCGACCTCGCCCCTCCTCGCTTTTCCTCGCTCCTAATCCTCCTCGTTCCTCCTCCTCCTCCTCCCACTGCTCCCTGGAATTCGAGCGGATGCTTGTGTTCAAAATCCGCGTTCTCCATCTGTTTTGGCTTGCGGGGGGCGTTCTTTTTTTCACGCGCTGAATCAATCAAAAACGGAACCTCTCCTCCGCAATCCGTCTTCCGTGCCAATATTTCCTCCCTGTCACACCATCACATGTGTCCGTATCAGACTGGCTTTTGTGTCTTGACGGTCCCCTAAAGCGTACGACACCGAAAATTAGAAACCTCCAGTTGTCATGCGGATGGAAAGACGGCGGTGTTCAACATGGGGCTTTCGCCAGAGCAACGCGCGAAGTCCTTGTTATCCAGATTCACCCCAAAAACAAACTACAAGGATGGAGGTCTTCGTCGTTTGCAACTTGGGCCTCAAGTCGTGGCGCCTCGCTTATTCGTTCTCATAGTTTCTGAAAGTTCCAGGGATGGAGGGCCCACCACCTTCACATGAACCTCTCGCCTGGCCTGAGCATGGCGACGACCATTCGTCCTCAAACTTCACACCACTTGAGAGGACGGAGGCCCGCTCGTATGCAACATGCGGCGCTTGCCAGGGCTACGGTTCGACCATCCACAATTCCGAGGTGTGCAAATCGCGAGGTAGCTCGCTGTGAATATGGGGCGATCGCGTGACACGACCACACATGAGGGGCCTGTTTTCCACCACCACCACCATAAGTTGGAGGGGGGAAGGAGGTGGAGGACGAGCAGGAGGACGAAGAGGAGGAGGAGGACGAGAAGGAGGAGGAGGACACCCTCCCCCTCCAACCAACTTATGGTGGTGGTGGTAGAAAACGGGCCCATCAATACGTAAGACGATGGGGGTGGATAGTTTCTCTTGCGAGCGGTGTTCCATATTCGAAGCAGGCCCGTGGGGCGCTCGTCATTCAAAGGGGCGCCCCCCGCAACGGGAAGTCTTGGCATACATGAAGAGACCCCTATACGGAAGGGAACGTTGAAAGGGATGGTGAGTTGCAAGCAGGGCCGACGCATGACAGGTGGATCTCAATTCTCGTCCTCCTGAACATCATCGTGCGGGTTTCTGTTTCCTGTTGTGTCACGCGCGTTCTCCTTCGGCCTCCAGGGGCCGCTGTCAAATTATGACAACAAGCGCAGATCTGGAACGAAAAACTGCCGTGGCAAAGGGGTCGAAACCTGTGGGACCGACAAACAGACGCATGGATGCGTTTCGCGTGCTTCGTGGGGCCCAACCGCGCCCTGCGTCATAACAGGAACTCCCCAAAGATCTGGCGAGAGACCTGGGCCCACATCTGAAAAAGCAAGGGCGCTGCGGTTTGAATTCAATTGGCCGCCCACGACGAATTAGAGGGAACGGCAAACCCCGGCACCTGTCTGGCTCGGCACCCCTCCCAAAACTCATCAGCCTCACCTTCCCGTTCCCCGTCGTCCCCCTCCTCCTCCTCCTCCTCCTCCTCCTCCTCCTCCTCCTCCTCCTTCTCCTGTTTTTCCTCCTCCTCCTCCTCCTCCTCCCCCTCCTCCTCCTCCTCTCCCTCCTCCCCCCCCCTCGCGCGTTGCGTGCAATCCCCGCCGACCCTAAACGACGCGGTTACCCAGACCCTCGTGTGTAGGGTCCTCTCCTCCTCTCCTCCTGTCGCGTCAGAGGTAGCTGCGACAAGATACGTACCCTAATTAGGCGTGCGCGCATACTCGGCTGCAGGCAGATCCTAGAGCAACTAGTCTGTTGCGGCATTGAGCTAAGGTCCAGATCGATGTGGGCGTGCATCGTCGTCGTTATCCTCCTCGATGCTGGGCATGATCGCTAAACGATGGCACCCCGCCGAGCCTGAACGCATGTTGATGTTGAGACTGAGCACTCCTGTGCTGACGAAAGCGACAAACGTGCGAGCATGAAGGAAAAGCAACGCTGTGCCGTCTTCCTCCTCCTGCGAGTGACGGGCAGGTCAGATCGCGTGCGCCCGACGCCGCCCAGTGAACTCGTAGTGTTCCGTGGCGACCCCGTCGAGCAACGCGACGCCCAATTCCCAGCCGCCCGCCCGGGCCGCCCCCGGCGGCGCACATAGCGCGCCAGCGCTTCTGCTGGCGCCCCCTCCTCCTCCGCGAACCAATGGCAATCTGCCATATCCAACCTCTGCGGACTGCTTGCGCTTGGGCTAGTCGGGCCCCGCTGGCACCACCAGCGGGCCCTCGAATCGAAGGTGCCCAGGGCGCTATAAGCGCCACCTGCTCCAAAACAGCTGCAGCAAAATGCGGCACGCAGATTGTCCGCCTCCTCCTCCTCCTCCTCCTCCAGCCCATGCCTCGCCCTCTCCCTACCCCCCTCCACCATCCCACACACACATGAAGCTCCTTCGAATGGCGCTGGAGCAAGTGGCTTCGGAGGGTCGCAGCACATCGCAGATGTATCGACGATGGTATCGGCGACGTCGGGATGTAGAACATCGGGCCGAGAATCGCACCGCATCTCCGATGCATTGGATCCGCGATGTAGCGCGATGTGTTCTGACCCTGATGATCGGTTGCAGCTCAGTTTGGACGGCCTGGGCCCCATAGATACACTGCTACTCCACATCCTCCCTGCTACTGCTCTTCTCCAGGAGGCGGGGATGGGGGTTCAGGGCGGCTCCTCGTCGCAACAGGTGGCGGGATATCCAGACTACGACCATGTCGAAAAGGAACCAGGCCGCGGCAACGACAAGCCCCCTCCCCGCACCTCCCTGCCCCTCCTGCTGCCTCCCTCTCCCCAGCTCCCCTCTTGCTGCCTCCCCCTCTCTCCTGCTGCCTCCCCCGCCTGCAAAGAGGAACCCCCTCCCCCTGCTTCTGACGAGAATGATGCCATGGCAAGATTGGCTCGAGATGCGTTCGAGAAATCATGGATCATCCAGCGCCCCTCGTTTCCGCAGTCTGTGCGGAACATGGGGGAAACGCGGGAATCCTGGAAACCACGGAATGCACCACTTCCATGACCCCTTCCTCCCCTGCCTGCAAGCTCCCCCCCTGCCCTCTTGGGCCCCCCCTCCCCCTCCCCCGCCGACCTTGGCGGCGCTCCGGGCCCGCCGTCGACGGGCCCGCCACGAGGGGCCAGCACAGGGGGGGGGGGGCCCAGAGGCGGCCAGACAGACGCCCCCCCCGGTGGATCTTTTTGTGATGGGCCGGTTTTCCACCACCACCACCACCACCACCACCACCACCACCACCACAAGGTGGAGGGGGAAGGGGGTCCTCATTCCCCTCTTCTTCTTTTTCCTCCTCCTCATCCTCCACCTCCTTCCCCCCTCCAACTTATGGTGGCGGGTGGAAAACGGGCCCATGATTTTTGCGCAACTCGGAGCCAACCAAGCTGGCTCCTGGCCGCTGCGTCGGGCGCACGCCCACAGGGATTTGGGATCCGTGGATCTGGCGCGTGGGCGTGAGATCCGCGGACTGGAGAGCGCAGCCACCGAAGCAGGAAGCCCGTGCCGCCAGAGTTCGTGACGGAGCGCGCCAGTGCTACATGGAAGCGGGACCCATCGCTGGTCCACGCGCCTCCATCCGTGTTCGCGCGTCCTCCATCCGTGACTGCTCCTCCGGGATCCGGGCTCCCTCAACACCTCTTAACACTCCGCGGCCTCTCCGCGGTGCGGGCACGGGCAACACAAGTCGGAGCCAGAGCTGGGCTGGCGTCTGGCAGCTCGCTAAGGAGCCGAGCAGTCGGGCAGGTCCACCTCCTTCCTCCCTCCCTCCTTCCCGTCCCTCCTCTGGTTGTTCTACTCCTCTCTGGGAGGGGCAAGGGGAGGAACTGGGGTGGATCTGCACAGATGCATCAGATGTCTGACGCCAGGTGTCTCGGTCTGGTGAAGGACAGACGGCCACTGGTGGACCCCTCCTAGGGTGCATTTCGTCTCCTCCATCAGCGATCCCATCGGGCCTGACCAATGATAACAAAAGGGCACATTCTGGGCAGCATTACCTAATTATCTGGCCGCGGCGACGAGGAGAGCCCCAGGAGGCCCTGATAGGCCCAAACGCCTTGAGACTCGAGCCTCGGACCCCAAGTGTCCAGGGAGGGTCTGTCTGGCTGGCTGGCTGCCCCTGGGCCCCCGAGGCCCGTCGGGCAGGCCCTCCGACGGCGGCTCTGTGTCGCCTCCTGTGCACGGCGGGGACAGATGAGTCCACATCCACCGCCTGGATGACCGACGTCCTGGGGCCCCAGCACAGCAGGCGGAAGGCATGGACAACTGCACATCGGCCCCATGGGGGCCCGAGTACATCCATATCCACCGCCTGCCGAGGTCCCCTAGGAACGATCTCCCAGGCGGCAGTTGTGACAAACATCCCCGCCTCCGATCCTGCTTGTTCTGGCAGAAATCGCCCTGGAACGCCCTGCCGCTCCACTCGCCCGGCAAGGAGGACAAGCGGACGGTGGCGACGAAGCCCGCGACCTTCGCGAGCGCGGAAAGCGGCATTGGCACTGCTTTGCCAGCGGCGACGTGTGGTACGGGGCGTCGAGCAGCAGCAGCCGCGGCGCGGCAGCTGTTTGCGCACCGCAACAGCCCCAGACTCCAGCAAGGCTAAAACAATAGCACCAGGACTTCAACATCAACAAACATCACATGCGAGATTTTAGTCTGGCGATCTATGGTTTAGCACTCTGGAAGGCCAGGGGCATGGAAAAGTAGGCGACGCGCCGCCGAGGAGGCCAACAAGAAAGCATCGCGCGCAGAGCGTGATGAACTTCACGCATAAGCAGCACGCATAAACATCCTCTCTCACACACACACACACTCAGGAGGAGGAGGAGGAGGAGGAGGAGGAGGAAGAGGAGGAGGAGGAGGACGAGGAGGAGGAGGAGGAGGAGGAGGGAGGAGGGAGGAGGGAGGAGGGAGGAGGGAGGAGGGAGGGAGGGAGGGAGGGAGGGAGGGAGGAGGAGGAGGAGGACGAGGAGGAAGAGGGAGGAAACATACGCGGCTGGATTTACGTGTGCGACATCTGGAGGCCAAGCGCTGGATGCACACGCGGCGCGCCCTGCGCACCCGGCCACACGCGAGGGGGCCAAACGCCTGGGAACGACATGCGACCCCATGGGTGACAGACTCGCGCCAGGGCTGGCCAGGCCGCGCGCATCCAGCTGCCTCGTAACCTCTCGGCGGTGCGTGCGGACTTCTCGAGTCGGCGCTGGACCCGCCCGCACACACACACACACACACACACACAAGAGCACACACACACACCTGTGGGTGACAAACTCACGCCGAGGCCAGCCAGGTCACGTGTACAGTGCGGGAGCGGTCGCAAGAAACCCTCGCAAGAAACCCCAATCCAGGAAACCCGCGCGCGAGGTGCACCTGAGGGAAAAACCCGAGCATCCTGAGCGAATCAGCTTCTCTGACGGCCGCGGGAAGTCACCGCGCAGCGCGCGGAACGAAGAAACCCACGGTACCCTGACGAAAATCCGCCGATCTGGCGTGAGTTTGTGAGAGCGTGGGCTTGAGCTCGCTGCTCAAGCTTCGCTCTGGAGAGGGGGGGGGACGAATTCCAACGGAATGCAGTGAACGCACAAGCTGTGGAGAAGGGGGGGGACGCTTCGCTCTGGAGAGGAGGGGGGGCAGGGGGACGAATTCCAACGGAATTCACTGAAAGCACAACCTCTGAAGAGGGGTGGGGGACGAATTCCAACGGAATGCAGTGAACGCACAAGCCCCTGGGGGGGGTGACGAATTCCAACGGAATCCACTGAACGCACAAGCTCTGGAGAGGGGGGGGCGCTTCGCTTTGGAGAGGGGGGGGGACGAATTCCAACGGAATTCACTGAACGCACAAGCTCTGAAGAGGGGGGGGGGGGACGAATTCCAACGGAATTCACTGAACAACCAAGCTCTGGAGAGGGGGGGGACGAATTCCAACAACGGAATTCACTGAACGCACAAGCTCTGAAGAGGGGGAGGATCCAACGGAATTCACTGAACGCACAAGCCCCCCCGCCTCCCACAGATACCCACTTCCCTCTCTCCGAGAGGCATCTTCTTCTCTCCCCCCCCCAATAGCCCCCCCAAAAATAGACCCCCCCCCCTCCAGGACAAACCCCCCCCTCCAGGGCAGACCCCCCCCTCTTCCGACATATCCCTTTCCGCTCCTCCGCTTTCTCCTAATTACAGACCCCCCCCACTCTCACAGACCCCCCCCCACTCCGACAGACCCCCCCCCCGCCAGGACAGACCTCACCTCCCCGAAAAATCTCGTTCCTTTTCTCTGACAGCCTCCCTCCTCGCCAGTCAGGCCCGGGAGGGAGGAGGGGGGAGGGGGCTGACGCCATTCAGGCCAGGGAAGGAAGAGGGGGCGGGAGGGGCTGACGTCATTCAGGCTCGGGGGGGAGGAAGGGGGGGGGGAGGCGTCGCTCGGTCCTGTCGGGGCGGGGGGGGGCTGACCGTTCAGGCCCGGGAAGGAGGAGGGGGCGGGGGGGGGGGGGGGGGCTGACGCCATTCAGGCCCTCGGGAGGGAGGAGGGGGTGGGGAACGCCATGCGGAGGAGGGAGGAGGGGAGGGAGTGGGGGCTGACGCCATTTCAGACCGGGAGGGAGGAGGGGGGAGGGGCTTCGCTCTGTCGGGGGAGGGGGGGGGACGCCATTCGGGCGGGACCTAGGGGGCGGGGGAGGGAGTGGGGGCTGACGCCCATTCAGGCCCGGGAGGGGGTGGGAGGGGGGGGGGCTGCGCTCTGTTGGGGGGGGGGGGGGGGGGGGGCTGACGCCATTCAGCGGGAGGGGGGGCGGGCTGACGCCAGTCAGGCCCGGGAGGGTGGAGGGGGGGGGGAAGGGGGGAACGCCAGGCATGGCTGACGCCATTCAGGCCCGGGAGGAGGAAGTCGGGGGAAGGGGGGGGAGCTGACGTCATGGCTGACGCCATTCAGGCCCGGGAAGGGGGATCTGGAGGGGGGGGGAGGGAAGGAGCCCTGACGCCATGGCTGACGCCATTCAGGCCCGGGAGGGAGAAGTCGAGGGGGGAGGCGGGGGCTGACGCCATGGCTGACGCCATTCAGGCCCGGAAGACTGGAGGGGACATCGCATGAGCTTGGCTGTTCACGCGAAATTGTCACTTTCGAATATCCGACGGTTACCCAACCGAGTTCAACATCTCTATCTTATGAGGATGTCTCGAACGAGTGCTTTGTTTGATATAAAGGGTCCTCCGTTGCAAGTAGAATCGGTAGCACCCCAGATCGGCGGCACTGGCCGGAGGCCACTACAATCAGATGGTTTATTGATGCGCGCCCCTAGTGTATCTAGCTTCCTCGTAACCTCTCGGCAGTCCGTGCGGACTTCTCGAGTCGTCGCTGGACCCACCCGCACACACACAACATACAACCACGCACGCACAAACCCCTGTGGATGCCTCTCAAAAGGGGCTAGAGTAGATGCGGTCGGAGAATCGTGCCGCATCGCCGATGCATCGGCGATGCATCTGCAACATCAGTTGGAAAGTCCGCCTCGGCGATGCACTGGCGATGCGGCGAGATCCCCGTACCTCATCTGCTCCAACCGCATGTAGGACAACTGGACCTACGCGACCGCTCTGGCGCCGCACCTGGCGCGCTCCGCGTGCCCGGTAAGAAATTTGGGAAGGTGGTCCAGCTCCGCGAGAGATCCGCGCGGACCTCCGACAATTGCATACTCTTTCGGTAGATTCCAAACCTGCCCGTCGATATCCAGCAGCGGCTGGCACTCGTAGACGGTCTCGCCCTTGAGCAGGGCCCTCTTGACGATCCTCATGTACAGGGCATTGAGCTTCACCTCCCCCCCACGGAGGTTATCGGACGTCCTCGGTGGGGGTCCTGCAGGGCCCCCCCCCCGAAAATTGATATCGCTGCAGCTGGACGCGGCAAGAGAAGTCGGTCAGACTGGTGCCAAATACCCATTCGTCCGACGGCTCGGCTTTGTTGTGACACGGGTCCATGCGCCCCTGGACCTCATCTTAAGTCTCGTCCTCTTCACCCTGAAAGTCGTCTGTTTGCCATCGTCGGCCCAAAACATACAACCCGCTAGATTAAAAAGTGGACACCGTAGGGATCGAGAAAGACACGGTTGGCCTCCCGTTAGGCCACGGGGCCCTGGGACAATGTTGGACATGGGGCCGATTCGGGAATTCCAGATGCATCTCTCACCCCTTTTAATACTATAGCGGCAAAATGGGGTCAGCGTCTGAAAATGCGAATCCGTCTGAGACTTCCGCAACAAAAGCTTTCAGATCGCCTTCCAAGGCGATCTGAAAATTTGCCACGGCATCTGAAAATGACGATTTCGAGTGGGACTTCCCCAGACAAAAAAAACAGATCCATCTTCATGCCGTTTGAGAGAGGCGGTATCGCCTAAGAATTCCTCGCAGGGTATTTGCTGGCCGCTTTTCACGCCGATTAAAAGAGGCGATTTCTTCTGGGCTGTCGTAACAACCGCGCATCTCGTCCAACCCAGCGTCGCTGTTCCTCTGTTCGGGTCACGATTCTGTCTGGGAATCATCTTGGGATCGATCGAAGGTCGAAGCTTGAGCTTTTTTTTCGATGGGCGAAGACCCAGGGGTTGTTCCCTGGCATGTGCCGATCACCACCTTGGGATCGATCGAAGGTCGAAGCTTGAGCTTTTTGTTCGATGGGCGAAGACCCAGGGGTTGTTCCCTGGCATGTGCCGATCACCACTTTTTAATCCAGAGGGTGGTAGGCTCTTGCACTCTTCATGTGCAAGATTTGCGGTGTTAAGTGCATGATGTGTTGGAATTGATAGGGTGTTGCATATGAGATGCAACACATGTGGTGCAACGGATGTGGTGCAACACCTGTGCTGCCTACGCGCAATGCAGTAGACGTTGTGCAAGCTCTGGTGTAACGATGCGGTGCACTCTGGTACACTCTCTAAGGCGCGCAGTGAATGCTGCGCAAGCCCTGTGGCGAATGCAAGTATGTGCAATACGTACGTTGTGGTCCTCCTCCTCCTCCTCTTCCTCCTCCCCCACCTCCTCCTCCTCCTCTTCCTCCTCCTCCTCCTCCCCCTCCTCCCCCTCCTCCTCCTCCTCCTCCTCCTGCTCCTCCTCCTCCTCCTCCTCCTTGTGAATTCTGGAATGCCGGCCAAATCACGAGGCACGCACACACGCCCACGGGCACCCGCCAGCAACAAGAGCGGAGGTGCCAGCCATCGCAAAAGACGCCCACGAGGCGCCCACGGGCGCTAATTTGATGGGCATGTGTTCCACCACCACCACCATAGGTTGGAGGGGGGGAGGAGGTGGAGGATGAGGAGGAGAAAGAAGAAGAGGAGGACCCCCTCCCCTCCTACTTATGGTGGTGGTGGTGGAAAACTTGCCAATCATAATTGGAAATACCAGCCAATGCACGCACCGCACACGAGGTGCCCTCGGGCGCCATCAGCCGACATTCTGTAGATTTCAGCCGCAAGGTGCTCAGCGAACACATACCAAGAACCCTCAGTGCAAGCACTGTCTTGACCATGTGACGATGCTATGGCATACGGGTTTTCATATCCTCCGCACTAGCTGCGATTGGGAGGCATCAATGAATTCAACACAATCTTTTTGGACCATGCGCGTCAACGTACATCTCTAGATCTAGATCTTTGAATGTGATTGTATATATGGGCATTCACTCATGTAGCTGGCCTGAGGTCCACCACCGTGCCGCGAGGCACTGAGTGGAGTGCCGCTACATGCTAAGAGGTAGGTCTGCGCGTGGCCTTTCCCATTATCATCAACATGGAAATGGACTGAGAGCAGTGTCCGCAAAACCATTCGATCGAACTTGGTAGTAGGAGCTGATATGATTTTTCACGGAAGCCTCCCGAGTGCGGCAAGAGCAGATGGGGTTGGAGGATCGCGCCGCATCGCCGACGCATCGGCGCCGGCGGGACGGAGAAGAACGGGCACCAGATCGCGCCGTATCGCCGATGCATCGACGATGCGATGCTCCGACCCCGTCTGCTCCAGCCCGATTTGAGAGGCCTGAGTTCCAGGCGCTCTTGACCACTGTTGGGCGCTGCTGGGAATCCCTGCGTGGCTTTTCAAGAGGCCTCGGGAGCATGACTGGAGCGCGTTTCTTTATGTTCGGCGATGACGGGCGTCATAGGGGGGGAGGGCGGGGGGGGATATGACGTAACGCCCCCCCCCCGCCGTGTGGCTCCGCACCACAGCTGAGCCCGCGCGCGCGACGAGACGAGCGACGAGCGACGAGCGACGACGACAAAGACAACGACGGCGACGACGCGAGCAGCATGTAGGTGGCGATATGCCCCACTGCGCCTGTGTACACCACAACGATCGCGTGCACCACAGCGCGCGTGTACACCACAACGACTGCGTACACCGCAACAACCGTGTGCAACGCAGCGCCTGCGTAAATACACCACAGTGCTTGCGTACACTACGCACCTCTTGCACGAAATGTCGGTCCCTGCTACGGTAGCCGCGATGAGCCCGAGCATCCAGTGCGGCGTGGGCACCGCCGGGGCTCGATGCTGGGTGGCGCTACGTCGTTTTTCGGCCTCCCGAAGGGCGCCACGACGCTTTACGACTTCCGCCATGAGCTGAGACCTTTGAAGCCGAGAAACGAAATCTGATGCAGGGACGCGTCCCCAGGCTGTGATAATGCAATTCCTCTCCAGACCTGCGAGCCGCTGTCCCTGACCCAGGCTGGAGGAAAAAACTGGAAAAACAGCGTGGCCTTGCCGCTCCTGGCCGCGTTTGTGGTGCCGTGGGCGGCGGAAGCACGATAGACCAGCGAGCCTAGCAACAAGGGGAGGCGCGGGAGCAGGAGGAGGAGGAGGAGGGGAAACCATGGCAACAGCGCCAGTGTAAATGTGTACACCGCAGCAACCATGTGCAACACAGCGCCTGTGTATTCCACAATGCTTGCGTGCACCGCAGCGCCTGTACGCGCCGCATCGCTTGTCTACACAACAGCATCCGCGTGCAACGCAGCGCTGGTGTACACCACAGTGCCTGCGTGCATAGGACAAGTAGAAGGAGCATATACTTACTTCTACCTACTATTACTGCTACCACTATTACTACTAGTACGACTACCACTAACAGTACTACTACTGCTACTACCAGTACCACTACTACTACTACTACTACTACTACTACTACTACTACTACTACTACTACTACTACTACTACTACTACTACTACTACTACTACTACTACTACTACTACTACTACTACTACTACTACTACTACTACTACTACTACTACTACTACTACTACTATTACTAGTACTACTACCACCACTACTACTACTACACTACTACTACTACTACTACTACCACTACTACTACTAATACTACTACTACTACTACTACACTACTACTACGGCTACCGACTACGACTACGACTACGACTACGACTACTACTACTGAATACTCCTACCGACTACTACTACTACTACTACTACTACTCAATCGTTTTAACTACTACTACGACTACTACTACTACTACTACTAATACGACCCTTCTGCTGCTACTACACTACTACTTACACTACTACTACTACTACTTACTACTACTACGAGCTAGTACTACTACTTACTATTACCAAAACAACGACTTGGATTCGAAAGCGCAGACTACTACACATACAGTTACTGCTGCCACTACACTACTACGCTACATTTTTACTACTACTACTACTACTGACTACTACTACTTCTGCTACTAACTACTACTACTACTCCACTACTACTAGTACTAACTACTACTACTACTCACTACTACTACGACTAGCTCGAAAGTCAGCTACTACTTACTTTCTGCTACTACTACTACTACCACTACTACTACTACTACTACTACCACCACTACTACTATTACTCCTACTACTACTACTACTACTACTACTACTACTACTACTACTGCGACTACTACTATTACTACTATTACTACTACTGCTTCTACTACTACTACTACTACTACTACTACTACTACTACTACTATCAGTATCACTACTACCACCACCACCACCACGACTACTACTACCACAGCTACTACTACTACTACTACTACCACTACTACTACTACTACTGCTACTACTACTACTACTACTACGACGACGACGACGACGACTACTACTACTACCACTACTACTACGACTACTACTACTACTGCTACTACTACTACTACTACTACTACTACTACTACTACTAGAACTACTGGGGCCATCACCGCGCCCTTACATCAGTTGGGCTAATAAGGCTCTAACGTTGTGCCGGTATGCTGTAGTACTTCTATGTTGCGTTATCGTCCTTACTAACCACCACTGGGCAACGCGGCGGCGTGACTCCCCGAACGTGGCATTAAACTTGCCAAGCCGCCTGCGCTACGCCCACTTGTTTGCAGGGGGGGGACGAAGGGCGGACATGCGAACGCATGACATCGACAGTGTGCACCTCCCCCGTCCTCTTTCTTTTCCAACAAAAAACGACTTCAAAACGACGAGGGTCGGGCGTCCCGCGCCCCCCCGCGAAAACAACGCAACGATAAAGCGCCTTCTCAAAAACACAAGCAAAAAACAAGAAAAACATGAAGCGCACATGTTGGCGAAGGAGAGAGAGCACGAGGAGAAATCAAAGGCTCTCATACAGAAAACGTTCAAGACATAACCGCGTTTTTGGGGCACCCCGCGCTCCCATGCGGCGAAATAAAACGTTGGGCATGTCAGCCAGGCCCCCCAGCCAACCACCCAGCATCACTCAGCAGCCACAACATGCATGTAACCAGTATCATCAGCATGTGTTGGCATGCCATCAGTCATCAATCATCAGCAACAACATGCCTGTCACCAGTCATGCGTCATCAGCATCAACAACCATAACATTAGTTAATCAGTCATCAGCCATCAGCAGCACGCATGTCACCAGTCGCCAGTCATCATGTCATCAACACCAACATGCGTGTCACCATTCACCAGCATCAAAACAACAACAACATGCATGCCCATGCATGGCATGGAATGCGTCACGCGTGCGTTCAGCGAGCTGGTCGCGCGCGCCTATTGGGGCATCATGGCAACGGTTGACAGCAGACAAGACTATCGATCCTCCTATCATTCCTCCTCCTACGCCTCCTTCTCCTAACACTCCTCCACCCCCCCCCCTCTTCCTATCACGCATCCTCCTCGCATCCCCCCTCCTCCTCTTTCTCCTCCTCCTCCTCCTCCTCCTCCTCGTCCTCGTCCTCCTCCTCCTCTTATCCCACTTTTTCATCCTCCCCCTCCTCCCCCTCCTCCTCCCCTTGGCTGTCTTCTCCGACCCCTCCTCCGAAAGAGAAGTGACGACAAAGGCGACAACTTCACGCAGTCCCCACCCCCCACCCAGGCACCCCATATCACACGTGCATCGGGGGAAGCCATTTGCCTGCGAAGCTTCATGAGCGAAGAAAGCGTACGCCCAAAACTTCGCCGCAAGCCCCCATGCCCTTGTACTCGCGAGTGCAGCGTAAACATGAGATACAACAGATGTGTCACATACAACACGTATGTAATACACAACAGAAACAGCAATATAGCATATCAGTCATCATACGCAACACATAAAGATCTCTATACGACCGAACACCGAAAACAACCAAGAGTAGATGTACACTTTGTACAACAAGAGCGGCATATACCGCAGCTACAAATGCACACATAAAGCGACAGGTACAACCGACACGCCACCTACATCTGAAACTGCCGATACAATAGAAATAACTGATACCGCAAAATGCTACCAATACAGAAGACACACCATGGGGCAAGGATACAACATGTATAACACATAAAGCCTTCTACGCTCCTTTCTCCTAACCTCCTCCTCCAATTCCCCCTCCTCCTACCCCGCACCCTCCTCCTCACCCTCCTCCTCCTATGACCCCTCCCCTCGATGTCTTGATGTATCAATGTGCAATTGTATTGGTGTCGTGTTGTCTTGATGTATTGGTGTCTTGATGCATTTTCGTCTGGATCAATCGATATCAATGCATTGATCTATCGATGCTTTGATGTATTGGTGTATTGATACATTGATGCATTGATGCGTTGTTGTCTTGATGTATTGACCTCTTGAGATGTTATGGCCTTGGTGACTTGCTGCCTTCGTGTATGGGTGTCGTGAAATTTCTCCATGTTCCGAAGTCTTCATGCATTGATTCATCTGTCGTGATGACTTGATGTGGGGGGAAATCCGGGGGCGTGTCCAAGCCTGGAGCCCGGGCCCCCGGTACTCCGGCATATGATGTAACCTCGGGCCCCTTCAAGATATTTGCGTTTCCCGAAAGGAATGGGGGCGATCTTTGCTTATTCGGGCCCTCGTGGGGAA